GTTGGAATCGCGCGCGGTAGAATAACTCAGCTTTCATTCCTTCTTTCCGGAATAGTATTCTGACTCTGTTCGACCGTTTTTCTCCGTATTTCCGTGCCGTGCTTTTATGTTCTTTGCAACTCCTTTTTCTCTGGCAGATGACAGCGGTAGCAGTGCATCCAGTCAACAAGGTGGCTCCATTTCTCCGTATCCGTCAGTTTCATCAAATGCCGGGAGTTCCATGGCTCCCGCGGATAACGGTATGAGTTCCGCCCAGTCCGGTCTGACAAGTCCTGCACTCCTTATGGATCATACTAACGGAACGAATATGATGGGCCCGACCGGATCGAATTTACCCACACCAATCCCTGAAGAACGACGGAGATGGAAGAAGGAGGAATTGCTCGAAGGTGCTATGATGGCCAGATTACCGTTTGCTCAGTGGAACGGTCCAACCGTGGTTGCTTGGCTAGAGGTATGTACGCATGCCTATGTTCGCGTCACACAATCAGATCGTGTTGTGAATTTTTTTAGTCAAATGAAAGGAAACATTAACTTTCACAATACCACCATTAAATTGGGCTTGAATTGATGCGGTTCTTTTGGAACGACCACGGACAACTCCCAAGTTTCGGAAATAGGGTGAATTTGTCTGTTTTTCTTGCACGGGATAAGTGCGATTCCAATTTTTTTTTATTCCACACCTTTTGTGTAACGAACAGTAGACATGGTGAACCCCATAGCCACATAGACCTGCTGTTCAGTGATGAAAATCGGTAACCTAAGCCCCGCGGGACTTGAACTGGCGAACCACATTAGGTCCCACTAGATTAGGTCTGGCGTTGAACCGAACGACAGCAAAGCTGACTTCCACCAAAGTTGGGTGGCGGTGGCGGGGTTCGAACCTCAGATCATGGGGTCCAAAGCAAACTGGTGACAGCGACGAAACCCCTGCACCAGCTGCACCACCACTGCCAATTAATTGGTTGTCTGATAACATTATAACCGGTAGAATAATATAGCGAACTTGTTTTGCTGTCTGATGACAGTGCAGTTTGGTGCAACCTCTTGGTGACCCAGACTAGTTCAACTTCTCTTGTTGGTACATGTCGGTAGTGGAGGATTTTCTCTGATAAAACGATGAATCTTGTCACGTAGAAGGTAATGAAACCGCTAACTGAAAGTCTGGGAAGCGGTTTTCAATCGTGTTAGGTCCTTATTAGCAGTGTGATCGAACCCGGGAACTCATTAATGGAACACAAGCGTGCTACATCCCCCCGGGTCCCACGTAAGGCGAATCAGACTGTTTCATTCTATTTTATTTAAGTCAAAACACCTTAAAACTGTGAAGGTTTACAAGTTTCACACCACACATTTTCTACACCCTCGAGAGGTGATCAACAATTGTCGCATTCGGTTATGTCAAATCCTGTTTGGTTGAAAAATGTCTAACGATTCATCTGATCATTTTGGTTAAATTTTATTTGTCTATCAGAGAAATACTTGCCACAAAGAATTCGAAGTGAAACTTGAAGTCCGGTACAGATTACTATTTATGAACAATTACGTAATCTATCCTTGCCCCCCTCCCTCCTCCCCTCGGGGGCCGGGGTGGGGGGGGAGGAGTTGGACATCGAAGTGTGATTCTCGGATCGATTTTATTTCGGCTGTCACATTAGTGTCACGGTTTGCTCTTTCAGGCCCCCCGAAAATCCTGTGATTTACAGCAGCAGCTGCCATCGGTCTGTCTAAGGTCGTTGTTTGCATAAAACGCGGGGAACACCAGTAACGAAGGCTATTGGGGGCCTGCGACAAAACTTAATGTGCCACATTGGTCATGATTGTCCACTGTCTAGTGATCTTGGTTGTTATTTAGACCCGCTCAGTCTATTGACTATAATGGTGATGAAAAGGAGGAATTCGTTCGCACCATCATATAGGGACTGCAAGTACCAGTGAAACGCCACCATTTGGGGTTCAATGGCGTGGGAAATTTATTGATCCGAGTGAATGACATTGATGTGGTACATTCTCACGGTATAGTGGCACCATGATCGATGTGCCATGTGAAGCACAACTAACGGACTGAATTCCGTTCAGACTGTAGCTAAAAATTTCTGCAAACGCCCAGTAACATCATGTCACAATGTAAGAGTGTTCA